TTTATTTTTTATTTATTTATTTATTTTTTCCTCACCCCCCCCCCCCCAGTCTAGCTTTCTGCAAAGCTTAAAGGTTTAACTCTATTTTTTAAAAAACATGATAAACGCCTGAAGTCTGTGTAAATGGAAATGTAATTACTCTTAGAACTAAGTTGCTATATGTTCTTCATACATTGGTAGACACTGGGATTCCTTATACTGTGTTCTTGCACATGAATAGTATAATGTGTTCCAATATTACTACTGTCTTTCAAACAAATTGTACCTAACCTGACTTGTTTTTATGTATTCCTGTTTTCATAACTTTCATTACATGAATTAATATCTGAGTTATGTGGAAAAGCTTCAGTCTTAAAAATTAAGAACTTCTTATATCTTCTTTTGCCATGACTTAGTCCTATTGGCTACTTGTAGTCATTGTTTTTCTAAGAAATCTCCCAATTACATCCAATCTTTCAGGAAGTATCTAAGCATCATTCCTAATTGCCTATTTGTCAATATATGTATATTAAAACTGCTCTATGTAATAGGAATCCAGACCATAGATTTTCAACCTTTTTCATCTCGAGACACACATAAACTAATTACTAAAATTCTGTGGAACATCAAAAAATAGATTTTTTAACTCATTCACATCAGACGGCTATTGTTGTTAGCTGTTGTCATTATTTTATTTGACAATTTAAGGGAAAAGAGGTCAGTACCCCTGACTAAATAGTCAGGTATTGCATGTTTTAAAAAATTCTTGTGGCACACCATTGTGCCACAGCACGCCGTTTGAAAATTGTTGATCTAGACAACTTAAGTTTTCGGAATACCATTCACTCTTAAGAAATATTATTGGAAAAAAAAATAAGAACAAGGTAACATCACATTTTTTAAGATTGAAACATTTGAGATATTGCCTTAACATAATGGATTCAAGGGTAACTGAAAAAATCATAGGCATGTTTCAACTGTTAAAACATCTAATGTAGTATGATTGTGTCAATATGTGTAGGAAAAATGAGTGTCTATCTTAGTAGAATAATCTTAAAAATATAATAGCTAGGTTATGTTTTTAAATTATTTAATTTATATTGGACACCTAGTTTAGGGTACTGTGGATATTTCCAAAGTTCTGTCTTTGGCCTCCCTTCATTCTCTTCCCAGGAATCTCCTTTACTCCCAATGGAAATTAGCTTTTATCTTTGTGGGAAATTTTTCAGTATTTTATTTTTTATGTTTCTGGTATTGCTTATTTACTTTGTAAAAATCTGAAGTAATTTTACATTTATAGAAAAGATGCAAGAATAGTGCAAAGAATGTCTATAGACCCTGCAGTCAGATTCCCCAACTGTTAACGCTCTGCGCCACATGTGCTTCATCATTGTCTCCCATCAGTTTTCAGACACACATATAGACATGCGCATATACAATATACTTATATTATGGATAGATTACACATACACACATACATATATACCCTTGTATTCACGTATTTTTCCTGAATCTACAGGGTGCCTAGTTACTTCTACACACGTGTGTATTTCCTAAAAGAGCACAACCAACAAAATCTGGATATGAACATTGATATAATACTACCATCCAATTCATAGATCCTATCCAAATTTCCCAATGTCATTTATAACAAAAAAATCAGAAAACAGAATTACTTTAAAAAGAAAAATAAAATAAATGTAAAACAATTATTTTTCTTCTAGTCCAGTATCCAGACAGAAGCACATTGCATTTAATATTCATGTCTCTTTAAGCTTCTTCAGTCTGGAACAGTTCTATCTTTCTTTGTCATTCATGGCCTTCACATTTTTGAAGACAGATATGTTGGAGAATGTTACATAATTTGAATTTGTCTGATGTCTTCTCATGATTAGATTTAATCATTTAGGGCAGGAATATCGCAGAAGTGATTCTTTGTTCTTTTTGGAGTATCATATCAGAAGGCATGTGATGTTGACTTGTTCTATTACTGGTGAGGTGGACTTGGATCACTTAATCAAGGTAGGGTTTGTCAGATTCCCTCATGGTAACTTAGTTTCTCATCTCTAATTAATAAGTAATATCTGGGGCGATGCTTTGAGACTACAACAAACTTTCACCCACTAATTTTCATATCTGTCAATGATTATTGCCCTAATCTATTGTGATAATTGCCAAATGGTGATTTTCTAACTCCACCAGTTCTGCATTACTATTGTACTGTAAGAAAGTGCTTTCCTCGCTCCTTATTTAGTTCATTCTTCATTTATTTTTTTAAAAGTGTATTTTTATTGATTTCAGAGAGGAAGGGTGAGGGAGAGAGAAACATCAATGATAAGAGAATCATTATCAGCTGCTTCCTGCACATCCCACACTGGGGATCAACACCACAACTCCGGCATGTGCCCTGACAAGGAATCGAACCATGACCTCCTGGTTCATTGGTCAACACTGAGCCACGCCAGCCAGGTGCCTTTTTCCAAATTTATGACTACCTTCTCTGACAGATATAAAATTGCTGTTCCATTATTTTCAATATATTGTCCCTTATTTTCTTTAATCCGCACTCGATATTTTTTCCATTTTTAGAGTGGGAAGGAGGGGGAGAGAAACATGGACATGAGAGAGACACATTGATTTGTTGCCTCCTGCACACACCCCTTCTGTGCATGGGCCAACACTCTAACCACTGAGCAACCAGCTGGGGCCCGCCTCAGGTTTCTGACCCCCTCCGCCTGTGATCACACTTTGTGGTGTAGGCCCTTCGGCTTGAAGTAATAGCAATAGAAAACAAATATAGTTCCTATCACTCCCTAATCACATAACCTAAGCCTGTTTTCTTCATGGCTCTATGTCTTCTGAAAGAAAGTGTTGTTCACCTGTCTCCTAGCCCCTGAAAGGTAACCTATGAAGGCCCCACCCCCAAGACCCAGGTCCAGCAAGTGCCAAAGGAACCGACAGCACACGTGTTGAACGAGTTCCCCAGTGGAGAGCTTTTTTCTGATTTCTTAAAATTTTATTTTTGTAATAGAACTGATTCATTCACATAAAAATACATTATGATTTCTTAAACCTCTTTAGGCCATCCCAAATACATTCACAAATAAAAATTTATTTTTGTCAAAACCTGTATCTCAATCTTTGGTTCAGAAATGCAATTGGCGCTTTGTGAGCTGCCTCGTGGAGGTAAAGGGTCCTCACTGCAGACCAGTTTCACACTAGGATTTGCCTCCTGTCCTTGGTCCCCCACTAACCAAACCTTTGGCTTCTGGTGGCCAGTTGACCTGTGGTGCTTTACACCTGTCTCCTGTTCACCTGCCTGGTGGTGCTTCTGGTGAGGCAGGGGTACTCCCATCCCAGGGCTGTAATGGCCCTGGTAATCTTAGCTCCTTGAGTTCTTGTTCACTTCTTACTTGGGGACCAGGAATTGCAACCATTGGAAGTGGGGGCAACTTGGATGCCGTTTGTCCATGGCTACAGGCCTGGAAGGGGCGCAGGCGGTGTGGGACGGCCCCTCCTTATGCCCCCAATAGTTCTAGCTGGCCTCATGCTGCCCCCACCCACAGCTTTACTCCTGGTTCTCTCTGCGGTTCCTAGGGAGCCTTCCCTGGGGTTAAATAGATGCTTTGCTTTATCCAGTTATTTTTGTTGTTTTCAGAGAGGGAGAGGGAGAGATAGAAACATCAATGATGAGAATCATTGATCGGCTGCCTCGTGCCCACCCCCAAATGTGGATCGAGTCTGCAAATCAAGCATGTGCCCCTGACTGGAATTGAACCCACGACCCTTCAGTCCACAGGCCAACGCTTTATCCACTAACCAGCTAGGGCTGAAGTAGGAATTTTCTTATTACAAATGAGGAGAGAATGATGCTCATAGAGGTTAAGAAACTTGCCCAAGTTGGCACAGCTGGGAAATAAGGGTATCTAAAAGACCATGCGTGTTCATTCATTTCCTACGCCAGTTCTAGTTAAGCCTTGTTCTCTGTATGACTTTGGTGGTGCTTCTAAGTTCCAAACCTCTAGGAATTTTTAAAGTTTACTTCTAATTTTAAACCTATTTTCTTTCTAATTATAGTATATATATTACTATGAGAAATGCCAATTTAAATAAAATCACCTTTGGGGAACACATGAATGAAGAAGAGATAAAGGCACTTCGATCCTTGTGAACACAGCTCCATGATAACTATACCATAACAACATCTTTGCTTAGTCTCAGAGCAAGACTGTCATGCCCTAGCCCAGTGGTCGGCAAACTGTGGCTCTCGAGCCACATGCGGCTCTTTGGCCCCTTGAGTGTGGCTCTTCCTAAGCCTTAGGAATACCCTAATTAAGTTAATAACAATGTATCTACCTATATAGTTTAAGTTTAAAAAATTGGGCTCTCAAAAGAAATTTCAATCGTTGTACTGTTGATATTTGGCTCTGTTGACTAATGAGTTTGCCAACCACTGCCCTAGTCGGTTTTGCTCAGTTAGTAGAGCGTCAGCTTACAGACTGATGGTTCCCCGGTTCGATTCCGGCCAAGGGCACATGCCCAGGTTGTGGGCTCGATCCCCAGAGTGGGGCGTGCAGGAGGCAGCCAATCAATGATTCTCTCATCATTGATGTTTCTATTTTCTATCTCTCTCTTCCTCTCTGAAGTCAATAAAAATATATTAAAAAAAAAAAGACTGTCATGATGCCTCAGAAAAGTACTAAGACAATAAAGCTGGGAAAGGGTGGAGGAAGATGACTGAAAAGAAGTAGTTTCTACATTGTAAAGAGAGAGAGAGAGAGAGAGAGAGAGAGGTGCCTCTGTAAGCTTCCTTGTCATTCTCCCAGTACACATAATGGCTACATACTACTTACCTATGAATAAACAAGGACCCGATTACTACAATGATTAGAACAAAACATAAAGGAGCTGACTGAAAATGAGAACTAAAATGCAACAATCCATAAATATCACATAAGAAATGTTATCAGGACATTTTGTAATTTGTGCAATCTAAAAAGCATTTATTGCAATGACAAAACTAGAGATTAACTATTTTTTTATTGTTGAATTATATTGTAAAGTCTACATCTACAGTTTAATTGGGAAGAAATGCTTTGCGTTTACATCAAGGACACATTAATTCTAGTCGAGTAAAACAGACACACACAAAAGACCAAATACACATGGGGGGGTGGGGGGATGGGGAGACTTTTATCTGGTCCTACTTTTGCTATTTTGGACCACATCTTTCCTATTAGAAAATTGATCTTACATACATATTAAGTCTGATTTATCATCCCACATTTTTAAACAGTAAATGCAGCTTCTCACAATTTCTAATTATAAACAAAAGATCGAAAACAAAATGGGAAACAAAGTTTAAAAACAAAGAAAGTGAAAGTAGACTGCTATTACCTTACGCAGGAAAGTTGAGTAAAATGTGCCCCCTGTGTGGCTCATCTCAAAGAAACACTTTTACTCAAAGAGGCAAGCATTTCTGACCTATATGTTTCTTACTCCCTCAGGCCTATAAACATTTCTGATAAACTGCCAAGTGAAAAATGTCTACAAAATATCTAAAAGCTAAATATCAGAAATGGGCTAATTCAAATAAAAATTGTTTGCTGGTCTAAATATACACCTTCAGCATTTTCCCTTTTGCAAAAGTATCTTTTTATTTCAGATGGCATTTAAAAATAACTTACATTTTTAGTGTGCTTATGGCAAAGACTGTAAAATTAGTAACTCAAATGAGTAAGTTTAAAATTTTTGTTTTCCTTGATTCTGTTGAAATTTCAATTAATTAACCAAGTTATACATGAGGTAAGTTTTAGCTAAAAAAAATACATCAACCACAAGATAAAGTTAACCACTTCAAGAGTACACAAAAATCATAATGCCCACCTCATATTCAGAGTTCACAAATTTATGTAACTACTGTGTATCCAAGAAAAGTTTATGTAATTTAAAAGCTAATACTTTCTGCATTTTAAAGTCAAATTATGTTGGGAAACAGGGCAAAAAAAACTTGGCAAAATTTGTTTTTAGTAACAGAAGACAATGCAATAAGGAATTCAAATGGAAACAAAGACCAGTGTGTAAAGTTTCTAATTTCTAAATAGACACACACCTATTTATCTAAAAAATATTTGGTAGCAAACTGGATTGACAATATTTTTAGCTGTAAAATAAAAAATACAGGTTCCCAATTATAGCCTTCTAGCTAGCTAAACAGCTTTTAAAAACATGGATAGCCAGTTAACAGTTTTCTAAAACATATACATATAGGAATCTTTAGCACTAAAAGATTACTGCTAAAATTCAACTGTATTTAAATGGGTCTTACCAAAGTAGGACATTCATGATACTAGAAATTTTTTAAAAAGTGAGTACAACAGGGCTACCTACACTAATAGCATTACTAGTAATAAAAAGTTACTGAAGAGATTATTGCCGTACTTTTCCCCATAAACACCATTAAACTTTGTTGCTGTTACAAAAAGTACAACTCCAAGTTACTTTTTCTCTTACCAAATTTCATGTTTCACATATCTCTAAAGTTTTTATTCAGCAGAGAATAATTCTTAAATCTTTTCTGTAAGAATTCAAAGTATTTAAATGTGTAGCTTCACATTATACATTTTGCCCTTCTTGAAACACAGAAACAATATACATTTTTCTCAAAAATGAAATAAGATGCCCACATTAAAAAAATAAAGTCTACAAAAAAGTTCCAGAGCTAAAAAAGATTATTTGTATGGCACGAAGTGATCTCCTGCTAGTCCAAAGTCCAAAACATTTAAATGAAGTCCATTTATATATCGCTTACTTTTCAATGGAATACTACATTTGAGGTGAATCACATTATATTTAGCTCTTGCGTCAAAAGTGTACACAAATTTTTTTATACAGTTATTAAAAATAGGAGACCAAGTTGAGTGTGCCAAAGAGATATCATTCAGTTGACACGTTTAGAGTTGCCAAGGTAAGAACCAGAGAATGGATTGACTTGGTTGGTTTCCATAGCTTGATAGACCAAAAACAAAAAAATGGCCACAACAACAAACAGCAAAATTTTTATCCACATGGGAATGGAGTGTCCCTTTTTTGTCTTTTCTGGCTTGACATCTGCCAAAGGAATATACTTAGGAATATATTTCGATGAAAAAGATTCCTCCATCCTGAAATCACTGAATTCTAATGGCCGCCCTGCAGCCCCTTTGATTGGTCTGCGACAACTAGCACTGTTGGGAATAAAAGGACAAAGAAAAAAATAAATTTTAGATAAAGTCATGAGTTACATAAGTAATATAAAATATCATTACCACTCCTTATTCCAAATGCATTCCTTGAGTTAACAGTAGGTAAATGTCACATATAAACAGTGAGGTCAAGCTACTTAAAACTTCTATACATTTTCCATTTAAAAGATGCATTATCTTTTATTAAAAAATAATACTCAGAACATTGATAAATATTCACTAAACTTGCCTTCTTAAAGTCTTTTCAGAGCTAATATATTTAGGAGATAAGAGGAAAGAAATAAGGTAGTTTGGTTGTGATTCCTTCAGTCAGGAAACAATTCAACAGATATCTAAATATAGTCTTTTCAATCAGAAAACAATCTCTCAGTGAAAACAATGATTTCCTTCTTTACAAATAGGTAAATTATTTCTTTATAATCCTTCAGTTTAACAAAGTTAATTTTGAAACTGACTCAATTTTCCAGAATATGAACTGATAGCTTGGAAATCTTCCCAAAGAACAGTTTAATTCTGAGAACACAAGTATAGTTAACTTTTTGTGAAGAATGAAAAATTAAAATTCCCATTTATGTGTATTAAATAATCATGTTGTATACCCTAAATATATATAATTTTATGTGTCCATTATATCTAAAAAAAGGTGGGAATAAATAAGTGAATAAATAAAAATGCCCCCATAGAATACACTAATACTTGTTTCAATGTATCTGAATACCTAATTCCTGTTGGTGTAGATGCTTCAAAGGGAAACATTTCCTTAAGAATATCCCTTTCTATTCTTCTTTCCTCTGTTTTTTCTCCCACCTAATAAGAAACAAACAACCAAAGTTAAAAATTAGTGTAAATGTGCAACAATGAAAATATATTTTAAATGGAAGTTTCAGAGAAGAGAATGCACTTAAATCTATCCTAGCTTTTAACTGCTATTTCTAAATTCATTATCACCTAAGTATCCACACATTTCCAAATTTCTTCAAATTTAAGATGTTGTGATAATGGGGGGGGGGGGGGAGGGTTAGCCACACATTAAAAATTAACAAGTTAAAGTAAAAGAAACAAAAATTCAGTGAAGCTAATATGGCAGTATAAGTTCCCCCACTGGATTTCCCATGCTTTTCATTAACATTAAGAGTACATTGTTTTTTCCTCCATTAAAAACTTCATAATAAGCCCGACTGGGGTGGCTCAGTTGGTTGAGCGTAGTCCCATGAACCTTAGAAGCTGCCAGTTTGATTCCTGGTCAGGGCACATGCCAGAGTTTTGAGGCTCAATGCCCAGTAGGGGGCCTGCAGGAGGCAGCTAATCAATGTTTCTTTCTCATCAATGTTTCTCTCTCCCTCTCTGCCTTCCTCTTTCTTAAAAAAAATCAACAAAAACATTTAAAAAAAATACTTTGTAATAAATGATCAAATATAGAAGATACCAAATTAATATGGACCTTTAACAAATTTCAGTATGTGTTTTAAAGCAGTCAATCTAATCTTCCTAACTTAAAAAAACATAAGATATATACTTTTCAACAACCTGATTGTTTTCCTTGTTTGCCTTTATGCCCCTATCAAAATAACCTTTGGTAAAAATTCATTAAAACTGTAATGCATCATGCAGTTAGTACTTTAAAGCTTAATTATACAGGAGTTAATCAAATGAAGCATCATACAAAGTCATTTTAAAGTCCCATTATTTGACCTTTCAGTGAAAGATAGTATAGCCTCCCGTATTGCCCAGTTATACTTTCAACTCTCATCCATAACGAAGAGAACATGTTATAAGCAGCACACAAATGACCACTCCCTTGAAAACTGTAAGTTAAGAGGCACACAGTAGCAGCAAGAGGATAGTATTAGCACATCATATTACATCGGTTACTTTTTATTGTCACTAGCCGAAGTATGTCTTTAAAAATATATGTGCGCGTGCACATACACACACACCCCCCCCCACCCAATAAAGCTCTGCTCCCTCCCACTTCTAAAAAACAAATATAAGTATTTCCTCTTTAAAAGATCAATGATAACATCGATCTAAATTTTATTCATTTACTTCAGCTCTTGTCAATGGTTTCTTTGGTGTTCTTCTGGGTATGTCTGAGAATTCAGTGATTGGCAGAATAGGAGCTGCATGCTTGAAATTTCCAGTCACCCTATTGACAACCTGCCAAGATTCAAATTATTCAGACTCAGAATTATCCAAACATAACAAAGACATGTGAAAAAAAGAAAAATATATTTTATTTCTATATTATTAGAACTTTCCCTTAATAAAAATTTAGGCAAAAGGACCCAGAAATGAATATAGTCAGTGGTTCTCACATGTGAAGCCTTATCACTCTTTAAATATTTTAGCAAAAAAGTATCCTTTTAATACTTTGGATTCTTGCGCAATGAATTAAATTTATACATATATAAATTGGCTATATTGAAAATCTTAAATTGAGAATTATGTGGGGAATAAGTTTAACATATGTTTAAAAACATGTAAGTTTGATATTTGCCAAAAATCACCACCTCCCCAATTCTAATTAAAGGGTAGTTTACAAAGAATACAACTTGTATAGTTTATGAAACATATTTACTAAGGTTTCGTTGCTTGAAGCCATTATAGTTTCAGCTATGGGAGTACTCTCTGAAATTATTGCACCATCTATACGAAAATGTTCTGAAGTATCCACCTGTTAGTTTGAAAACAAAACAAAAACAATAAATATAAAATAATCACTAAAACCCTACCAATCTGAAAACCCAATTCTAAGCAATAAGCCTTGCATCACCCTTTTCCTCGGAGTTCTTCTCGACCCTCTTGTGGATTCCCTAGTTAATGCCTGCAGAGGTCCGCCTTTGGAAGATCCACTTGTCCATTCAGTCTCAGTTATTCCAGCTTGAGAATAGCTCTAATCAACATCGACACATTAAAAAGTCATATTCTAACATCAAACACCTTAATAATGGCCATATTAGCACAGATAAGCCATGAAAACTCTCCAAATGCCAGCATTTGCAAACAATGCTATGCCCTCAATATATTTCTATATGTATTGACTGAACTGATATGTAGTTATCAGAAAATACTTAACGGATGGTAAAAATACATTCAAGAGTCCAACTATAGAAGCTCACAAATTGTAATAGAAACAAGGGGAGAAAAAGTGCATCAATTCGCCACTGACTCCTTTTGTGACTGCTGTGTGCTATTTGCCTCTAGCATTGCAGCTGCATCTCTGACCGTCTAATCAACAAGCAGGCTGAGGCTGAGCATGAGAGACTTTCTTTGACTTATAAAAAAGTCATTTGTTACAAGTCAGAATCCTTTTAAAACAAAATAAAATTTTATAATTGTTAAACATTATTCGTTTCCTGTGGTTAGGACTATTAAACTATTAAATAGAATCAGTTTAAATTATAATCCATACACAGCTATCTGAACTTAAAAATTCCCAGGTGTCAAACTCTTCTTAAAGACATTAAAATTAAATAGCAACAAAAACTTGGTGTCACCTCTTTCATGAACATGCATGCCTAACCTGTCACAGCCAAACCTCTCTCAGTGCTACCCACTCCTCACTATAGAAAGATAATAGTGACACACTACTGTTTTACCATCCGGTCCATGATTCATTTCTTCCTTGAAAAGCTGAGTAATATTCCCTCATTTAAAAAATTAAATTACCAGTCCTTATAAAATAGCTTGAAAGCCATTAGACTAGTGCTTCTCAAACTGTACTGTGTGTTTCAGCCAACTGCAGCTTTTGTTAAAATGCAGATTCTCATGTAGTAGCCCAGGTATGGGACCTGAGATTCTGCACCCCAAGCATCAAGCTATTCAACGTTGAAGCCACCATTACCAGATGATCCTTTAAAATTCTTTTAACTAGAAAAAGCCATCCATGATTAGCATATTAGAGTGCGCATATATGGTCACTTTTGCTTTCAAGCTAGTATTTTATCTAGATAAAGGGTGTTTCTTTATATTTGAGTCAATGTCCGTTAATTTTAAAGGCGAATATATTGCCCTAACCGGTTTGGCTCAGTGGATAAAGCGTTGGCCGACAGACTGAAGGGTCCCAGGTTCGATTCCGGTCAAGGGCATGTACCTTGGTTGCGGGCACATCCCCAGTAGGAGGTGTGCAGGAGGCAGCTGACCGATGTTTCTTTCTCATCTCTGTTTCTAACTATCTGTCCCTCTCCCTTCCTCTCTGTAAAAAAATCAATAAAATATATTTAAAAACATAAAACAAAAATAAAGGTGAATATATTTTACTCTTATCCTGGGACAAGAGTGGTCATGCAATAAGTATGCTTATTTGGTTGGAAGTATTAGTACCAAACCCCACAAGATACTGACAGTCTCACTGGACTGATTTTGTAGTTTCCCTTTGACTCATAATCTGAACCTCTGAGTCCTTTTTCCTGCTCTCAATTAGGAAATTTTTGTTGAATGCAAACTTAATGTTAGTAAAAAGACAAATCTGTGAACAAATTACATATACATATAATTAATGCTTATTAATAGTTAAGTTCCTGATTATTTGACTAGAAGGACACAACGGTTTCAATCTCAATCCTTAAAGCACAGTATCATCTGGGAGCTTTTTAAAAAAAACATATCAATATAAAGAACATACCCCAACCCTACCTTAGACCAATCAAGTCAGAATTAGAAGGGCCTGTGCATACTGAATTTTTATAGCTCCTAAAGGGATTCTAATGTGCAGCCAGAGCTGAGAACTTGTTTAAGATAATATTATAACTGCCGAAACCGGTTTGGCTCAGTGGATAGAGCGTCGGCCTGCGAACTGAAAGGTCCCAGGTTCGATTCCGGTCAAGGGCATGTACCTGGGTTGCGCGCACATCCCCAGTAGGAGATGTGCAGGAGGCAGCTGATCGATGTTTCTAACTCTCTATCTCCCTCTCCCTTCCTCTCTGTAAAAAAATCAATAAAATATATTAAAAAAAAAAAAAAAAAAGATAATATTATAACTGACTTATAATGCACCTCATTGCTTCCTCTTTAATAATCAATGCCAATATAAACAATTAGAAGTATTTTTAAAATATTCTATTTTAAAACAGTCTAGGTAAAATAGTCTATCTGGTATTATCAAACTCAGTATTTTAAAACTCTTCAATGAATATAAAACTGCATTGCTTGAAAGGTGTAATATTTACCATTTATGCAACCGATACAATGTAAAGACCAAACATTTAGCCTATATTCATGAAGGTTGGGGGCTTGGGTAGACAATGTCTTTTTCCTTAAAATTAGTTAGCTACCAAATTCCAGGACTTCCCATGTTATGTTTTATTTTTAATAAATAACTAAAATAATCCCTTCATCAAAAATTCTTATGAAACATCTATTAAAACTATTATGGTTAATAAAAAAGGGCTAAGTACCATTTAATGATTATTTTCTTCTATGGAAGGAAACACAAGAAATATATTTATTACCTGTGGGAATAGCTGGGAAAAGGGGTGGGATGGATACTTTTCTCTATAAATTATATTTTCCTTTGTTCAAGTTTATTGAATTCTTTGGTTGAGGACTATTAATCAGTTTTATTCTTGACTATCATTATCTAATTTAGAAGTAATCATCTTCACAGAAAACTAATACAACCAGAAAAGATATTCTGAAAATTATAAAGAATTTTTTCTACCAGAATCCACTATACACAAGTGACTTTGAGAAGAAAATAGAATTTAAAAAATTATAAAATTATAATTCAGTTTTATAACTACTTAGGAAGACGGACTAAGTAGTATTAATTAAAAAGAAACTCACTGCTATATAAAATTAGTAGTTAATGTGATTGCATCCAGATTGTAGGTAGTCTCTAAATAATATTTTCTATTAAAAGTATTAGGGTTCTTTAGAAAAATGGCTGATATGGTAAGAGGCAGGAAATATATATGAGCATGGGTCATCTTACTGTGCCAGAAAACAAGAAACTATCAAAGACAAACAAGGTCAATAAAAAGAAATAGGATCCAAGTTAGTAATCCTTAATAGCTAAAGATGGCATAATTTGAACATGAAAAAAGAATGACTGCAATTGATCATAAAATATATAAAACCATACTATTTTCCTGGCCAGTGTGGCTCAGTTGTTTGAGTGTCGTCCAATGCATTTGAGAGGGTAATCAGTTCGATTCCTGAGTGGGGCTTGATCCCAGTAAGGGGTGTGCAGGAGGCAGCTGATCAATGTTTCTCTCTCTCCCAAATCAATAAAAACATATGAAAAGAAAAAAAGAAAAAATACCATACTATTAAAAGATATTTAATGATCCCTTTTCAAAGTAACTAGGGCACTTTGATTTGAAAAGTAGAAAATAAAAGACAAGAATTAAACATTTATTCTGGCATTCCTATATGAGTTTTATTTTAAGGTAACTAAGCAGTTCATCAGGGAAGAAAGTTCTTTATAAAAATTCCAATTATAGAGGTAAAGGAATGAGAGAATGAGAGAAATCATCTTAAAACCGCAAATGAAATAATGGATCTGGGCAATAATCATAAATGGCTGTCAAAACCATTAAATGAAAGGTGATGCAGAACTTTATAATGAATGGATTAGGCTTTCAACATTTGAACCCATTACTAATTTTAGCATAACCAAAGGACATCATGTGAAACGATGGAATATGAAGGCCACACCACCATTTATGAAATGTTCTTGTCAAAGAAACTGAACCTGAATCTAACCAACTTTATAATCTGTGCTGTCCAATACAGTAGTTACTAACCACATGTGGTAATTTAAATTTAAGTTTATAAAGTAGTTTCTCAGCCACACTAGTCACATTCCAAGTATTCAATACTTATATATGGCTCAGGGCTACCATAATGGACAGCAGATACAAAACATTTCTGTCATCACAGAAAGGTCAATTGCATTGCCCCACTATAAATCTCTAACTTCCAGACTACAGGAAATACAGAGTATAGAAGAACAAATTAAATGACACTTGAAGAAACAATTGCCAAATCCAGAATATGAGGAATTCTATATAGCAAACCAACATGGTTTCTTCACCAAATAAATGGAGGGAGGAGAAACAGTTGTAGGGGAAGTAGCTACAGATTTGAGATAAAAAACAACAACAAATAATATGTGGAATTTGTTTGGATCCTAATTTGAATAATTTAATCACGAGACATTTCTGAAACTGAAGGAATTAAACAGAGTAGATATGAAAAATAATTTTTAGGTGTGAAAATGGCATTGTGTGTGTATAGAAACAGCTATGTTTTAGAGACATATACCAAAATTTTAATGTGTGAAATAACAAGTCAGAGGTTTGCTTTCATGTACTCCAGTGAAAAGCAAAACAAAACCAAAGAATTAGAGTACATGTGAAGATGAAATAAAACTGATAAAATGTTGACAACTGTTGAGGCTCTGTGACTGAAGAATCATTAAACTCGTCTCTCCACTCTTCTGTATTTTAAAATTTTGTTATCTAAGGCCACTGTCTAATTCTGCTGTCGTCTCCTCAATCTACTCTCCTTTGATTATTTATCCTGTCCTTCAGTTTAGCTTCCCCAACGAAAACAATTACCCTTTAAACCGTCTTTAATATCATCCTTCCTCCCTTCTTTTCCCCTGTTATCTGACAGTCACACATTCTTGCTAGCTCTATATCATTTTGCCTTCATACTCTGGGCCAAAATTATCCATGCTTATCTATTTCAGTATCCTTCACCAGATTTTCCTAGTTTCTACACTAAGTGCATCTTGCCTCACCAATAATAAAAAAGGTAAATTTTCATCTAAACAAGAAAGTGTGGTCTTAGAACCAGACTAAGTTCAGAGTTGAAGGAAAAGTCACAGAAGACAGGCAAAAGTAAAAGCAAAGCCAGAAATCTAGACACAGCCTGGCCAGCATGGCTCAGTGGTTGGTCCTGAGTCACTATGAACCGGGAGGTTCCGGTTCGATTCCTGGTCAGAGCATATGCCCGAGTTGCAGGCTTGATACCATTGGGGGTCGTGTAGGAGACACCCGATCAATGACTCTCATCATTGATGTTTCTATCTCTCTCTCCCTCTCCCTTCCTCTCTGAAATCAGTAAAAAAAAAAAAAAAAAAAAAAAAAAAAAAGAAAGAAAGAAATCTAGAGACAAAGACACAAATATAAAACCATTCCCTGCCTTTTAAAGAAATAACATAGGAATTACTTAGGCATGTCCATCTTTTAAAATATTTCTTTTTGACAAATACCATATAATCTCACAGGTGAAATCTAAAAACAAAATAGCCCTGACCAGTTTGGCTCAGTGGATAGAGCGTCAGCCTGTAGACTCAAGGGTCCCGGGTTCGATTCCGGTCAAGGGCATGTACCTTAGTTGCGGGCACATTCCCAGTAGGGGGTGTGCAGGAGGCAGCTGATCGATGTTTCTCTCTCATCGATGTTTCTAGCTCTCTATCCCTCTCCCTTCCTCTCTGTAAAAAATCAATAAAATATATTTAAAAAAATAAATAAAAACAAAATAGACAAAACAGAATCAGACTCACAGATGCAGAGAACTGATGGTTGGTTGCCAGATGAGAGGGAGCTTGGGGGACCGGGTGAAAGAGGTCAGGGGATTAAGAAGTACAAACTGGTAGTTACAAAATAGTCACAGGGATGTGAAGTGCAGCATAGGCAATTACAGTTGATAATATTGTAATAACTATGTATAATGCCAGGTGGGTGCTATACTTACTGAAAGGATCACTTTGTAAATTACATAAATGTCTAACCACTACGCTGCACACAAGAAACTAATATAATATTGAATGTCAACTGTAATTGGAAAATAAAGTTACAAAGATATGGTAAAAACTAAAAAAAAAAATTTTCAAAACCAGTATGACTGGCTTTGAACCATGCTTAGCACAGAATCAAACACAAATGAGACATTTATTAAACACACTTTTGCAGTAAACACAGGTACACTACTGACAACACAAAATTCAGATTTCTGATGCCATTTAACGAACAATGAATGAACAATATTTAGTGTGATGGAATCTGGGTGTCAACTATTAACCAAAGACTAGGACACAGGCCTGGAAACTACTTATACCTGAATACAGTGATCATAAAACTAGATACCTGATTGTGCTCAACTCTTCTTTGCTTGAGTGTTACTGGAGTCTTTGCTCTGCCCTTTAGTGGTTCTCTCTTCTCAAGCTTGAGCTCTATTTTAGAGTCTGGAAATAACATTTTAGAAACCATTACTTTTTGAAACATACAATAAACAAAACCATCTTAACATTAGTTTGGAATCCTGGTTTTAGGCACACTAATAAGTAAAACAAGTCATCTGTTATTACCTCAACAAACCAAAACTGTTTAATTGCAATTTTTGTCTTTTTCTTTTCCATTCTTATTTTATTCCATTTCTGTTTATCTCCCCCACTCCTTAATCTGATCACAACTTCTATTCTCTTTCCCTTTTTCTGGGACAAACAACCTGAAACAAAGTGAATTCAAACTGCTCCCATGGAGGCTTTTCACGAAAAACAATTTAGAGGTGGGAAAAGAACATTAAAATATAGTTGTTGCCATTCTTTTGTCCATACAGTGTGTTTATTAAAAATTGAAATATGTAAAGGAAAAAGCTATAGGGAATTTTAAGAATGAAAAACAAAACAAACCTACCTATATCGTACCAAGCTTCCAATAACATTAAGTGCAACAATGTTAATACATAAGTGCAGTTTAAGTCTCTCCTCCCTTCTTTTTTGATGTGATTATAAGAAACCTAAGTACAGCCCTCACTGGTTTGGCTCAGTGGATAGAGCATAGGCCTGGGGACTGAAGGGTCCTGTGTTCCATCCCCAGTAAGGGGCGTGCAGGCGGCAGCTGATCATTGATTCTCTCTCATCATTGATGTTTCTATCGCTCTCTCCCTCTTTGAAATCAATAAAAATATATTTTTTAAAAAAACTTAAGTACAACTGAGGAGGTAAGGAGAAATCTTGTTGGCAGAAAAGTGCAACCAATCACAGGCCACTTCTCCACCTCTTCCCAATACAATATAACATTTCTTTGAAAGGAAGCTAGTGCATATGTATTACTTAGCATACCACCATAATAGTTATTAATGTTAACCCAAATAAATATGTATGTCTTTTTATAGGCTTTAATATTCCATTCCTCTATCACTTGAAGAGCTGGATTTATTAAAAGATAAATATAAATTTTAGTTAGCTTCCACATTTTGTGGCCATTTATTATCACAGAGCAAAATGTCAGTTGTTACCTCTAAAACTTGTTACCAAAAACTTTAGATTACTTTCGCACCAAAGAAGAAATGGAGTCAATTATTAAAAGCTTAGCTTTGCATGAACTCAATCCAGTTGTACTAAAAGTAGCCAAGGGAGCCATGTATCTTGCTAGCTAGTCTAGCATTAGTCAGTCCAATGTCTACTTGCAAATTTCCCAAAAATGAGCAGTGATTTTTATTTTCAGCATGTTAGCTCAAATAGTTCAATCTTTATTTAGGATTAAGTATCAACTCTATCCCCTACATCCCAAAGCTCCTATTAATGGAGCTATTATATATCTGTATTTGGAACAATCCTTAACTTTATAAAATCTTAAGCTGTTAACTCAGATTCTAAGAATTAGAAAACATCCAAAGAACTCAATAGTAGTTGAGCAGAAACTGATTTAAACAAATAAGGTATCTTGTTACAGATTAATTTCTCTTACAAATTTCAAATTCCAACAGCCAATAAAAACATAGTCCTCAAATATAATAAAACTATATTTAGAATATTTTCAACTGTACCACTGTAATGTCAAGTGAGTTTCAATGATGAAATGATAAAGGGATGTTCGTTCACAAATATCTAACTTATTTTAACTCCAAGAATAAAACACACATACAACATGTTGCTGGAGACCACACAAAACTGTTCAAATTTAACAACTTTATTGAATTTGCAGAAGCATTCTACAGTAATACATTTTTAAAGTCACACAGCACTTAGTAGGTACATGTATACATGTACATTTCAGAAGACAAATAACAAATAAAATTATTCCCAGAAAGCTGCAAAGATGGGCATGTATAGTCTAAGAATCTGCCTATGAGTACCCAAGGGACCATATTTTGCTTATACTTAATACTATTATTTTCATAAAAGTACAAAGAAGTTCGATTATCAAATGCCTCTACAGTTAGACTCTCATCTTACAATCATAGAAATGAAAACACAAGATAATATACTGTTTTATATAGACACAAAGATACTGGGGTATAGTATGATTTCTTATGACTTAAAAAAACACACCACCCAACTAACTTAAATTTGCTTTTAGAATTTAGATTAAACCTATGAACTGCAACATACCTTGAAAGTGTAACTTTTAAATTCCCATCTTTCCAGTATGGAGTTCATCTAATAAACTACAGTGATAGTGAGAATGCACTATCCTAGAGTATCATGGTCTAGAGCAGTGTTTCTTAGTGTGGTCAACAAACTGTTTGCCACCAGCCCATGAAGAAATGAGGCACTTACAACAGAGTGTAGGTCTGCACACTGTTTTCTCTATCAAAATTTTATCAAGAAAATAAACCCTGTCATTAATCTGAAAAGTGTTTCTACAGTCAAGTTCTGGTGTATGCTTGTCTGTGGATCAGTAACAGTCTGAAGACTGGCACACTGAGATGCAATAATCTAGAATATTATGAATGATACTGTAGACATAAAAACAAACAAAAGGGAGAAAAATGAAAGAAAAAAATGTAGAAAAGCTGTAGAAAGTACAAAGATATTAAGACCAGCGAAGACTCTACTTATATTCTAGTTAATAGAATTAGTTTTGAAGAGTTGTGAAATCTCATGGAAAGGAGTGAACGATTTGAGATAAAAATGTAACCTACAAAGCTCTAAATTGTATCAGGATTTCTATCTGTGCAACCTTTTTTAAAAGGCAGTTCTATGTAGGCAATTACAGTGGGGCCTTGACTTACGAGTTTAATTCGTTCCGAGACCAAGCTCGTTAAGGAGCTCGTTAACTCAAATTACTCTATCAACTCAATGCAAAAATTGGCCGAGAGACAGCTGGCATCTCAAAAAACTCGTTAGTTGGGACACTCGTAAGTCAAGGCCCCACTGTACTTTCAAACTATAATTTGATGGGTTGAAGCTTGACACTTTGAAATCAGCCCCATCTGGAAACTAAAAAGACCTTAAAATTTTTTTGATTTAAAAGTACTTAAAATTCCTAGAAAATCTGCTAAGCTCCCTATATCAAAGATAAGATGGGCGTCTTTATTTTTAACTTGATTAGTGTTTATTTCCACGCTTTTTTATAACTTTGTATACTTCTCCTCCAAATAATGTTCCACCTTTAAAGGGAGTAACAGCCAGCTTATTCTTAGAAGCTGGATTAATTTTGCAATCCTTCAACCAGAGATAACGGCGACCTAAAGTGGAAGATCCCATGGTATGGGCAGCCATCTTTACTTCATCAAATGCAGCTTCACAAAGAAATGAGGCTGCATCATATGTTTTGCTCAGAATCCCAAGTGCCTGGTGGCTATCACTAGGATCTGAGCTAAGAATTTGTGCAGCCTGACTAATGTCAGCCTGCATAGCCCGAACTACAAAGGCGGTATGGGTTGCAACCTGCAATGCTGATGCTGCAGCTTCATATGCTCTACAAAGTGCTGAGTCCAACTGTTTATCAGTTGAAGCTACCTGAATACCTGCTGGTGGAGTGGTTTCAGAAATAAACTCCAGGATTTCATCATCTACTTTTGGAACCGATAATATCTGTGTTGCCTCTTTGGAAGATATTGGATACTTGCATGCCAATGAAGGCAGCTGCCTGTCAATTTGCTGCCACTCCTCTTCAATTACTTTTAGAATAGATTCGTGGAAAGGAAAAGATAGTTCTGAGGCATCTACTTTATCATGCTGTGATTGCTTAGACATCTCTATGCCTAAGGTAGCAAGTGAGTGAGAGACAACAGTTGTAGCAAAAGAAGACATGGATTCAGATCCATGTATATTTTGAAATTCCACAAAGGAACCTGAATCCTTTTCCTCTCCTAACTTTTTACTCAGTCTAGGCAATTTTCGTGGAGGAGACAGAGATTCAGTTTCTTGAAAATTAGATTGATCAATTCTCTTCCATATGTTTTCTATATCCAGTGAGGGTGTAGTGTTAGAAGTTCCAGGCAAACTACCAACCCCACTCTGGACCAACAGAGAATCGACATAATCTCTGATTGCCTGAGCAAGTGGTGGAGAAATTACTTGTGATCTCTCAGACTCTTCTAGTGTTTTCCTTTTACTGGACAGAATCGACTGACTTGAACCATGGGACCTCTCAGTACAAAATGGTTGAATTCCACTTTTCTCTCCACAGTAAATATTTCCTATGTCTTTATAGCAAGTAGTGGTGGTTTCTTTAATCAGTGAAGGAGAAGCTGCAGCAGAGACCAACATGGCAGCGAGTTCATGCTGAGAAGATGTCGAAGAACTTTTCTCTAAACGTCTATCATGGCTAGAACTGGAGGAAATAAACAAATTCCCTCCAGAGGCTAACTTGTGCAACTGTTCCCTGCCAGGCAAGGTTGTGGCAATAAGAGGTTCCCTACGTGGGTCTCCCTTAGAAGAATGCACTTTCTTAGCTGCCTGTAGTTCAGTCCCGCCCAAAGGAGGACGGGGGGAGATTTCAGGAAAAGAAATACCCTGAAAAAATCCACCAGAGGGAGTAGTTGGAAGTTCAGAAAAAGGAACAAAATCCCTAGTGGACTTCACTTTCTTGTGTTCTTTCTTCTTTCCTGTAGAGGCAAAAGAGGCAGGAAGTTTAAGCATTACTTGTGTTTAAGCTGATTTTATTCTTTGCCTCTTTGCTAACATAGTGCTGTTGAAGGAAAAGGCTCTATATTGCATATTCGGAACAACCAATTTGACAAACTATGCCCTGGCAGGCAATGCTTAAGAGATATAAGTAATTTGGGTCAAATTAATTAATCATGAAATTATAAAACAAGTAATATAAATGAATTGAACATTTATAAATATAAACTTGTTCTTATAATAAATTTTAAAAGGTCATTTATTTCTTGTAATATTTTCAAAAATATTTAAATATATGGTCAAATTTTCTTAAAATAGTGCACTAAAATATCTGCTCTGAAGTTGCCTTGAAATTAGATTATCTAGCAAAAACTGTCAATTTAAATGCCTATAAATAGAGAACAGAGAAAACATGCCATATGTAAACACTACTGCTATTTATTAATTACAAGGAATAAAACAGACAAGTGATAAGTGAGATCTTGGTAGTATAACAGAATAAAGAAAAGTGACAAGATTTAGCATGATATCATTTATATAGATCTTTTAAAGTACAAAGTAATACCATGTATTAGATAGATGCATATAAAAAAACATTTTAAAATGGGCTGGAAAGATAAGCATAAAACTAATGTCAGTGATTATTTCTATGTAGATGATACTTGGAAAGGGATAAGTGGGGGAACTTTGTCTTTATTTGTAATATTTTATTCTCTGAGAAAAATGAGATTTGAAGCAAAAAAGACACAGGTACTTAGGTAATTTTAGGTGACAGAAAATTAGACACTTGTACTTTTCTGTTTCTTAGAGTTTTCAACAAAAGCTACTTAAATCAAATTACTTGGAAAATTAATGATACAGTATGAAAAAAATGACATGTCTTGGTAATATCTTAAATTTTATCATCTGCATGGTTACTGTATCTTATGAGTCTGAAAAAAAAATCACATATATTTGATTAACATCATTTAGAACTTTACCTTCTTCATTGTCACTGTATCTGTCAGAATCATTACTTCCATTCTGTCTTGTATTTTCTGCTGAAGAAGAAATTGTTGGGAAAGGAGTAGAAGATCTTGAGTCTGTTCCTTGTTCCCTCAATTTCAACAGCTTTTTCTCATATAGCTTCCTGGTTGTTCCTGTATTAAGGCAAAACTCGCTTTAGTACAGTGGTTCTCAACCTTCTGGCCCTTTAAATACAGTTCCTCATGTTGTGACCCAACCATAAAATTATTTTCGTTGCTACTTCATAACTGTAATGTTGCTACTGTTATGAATCGCAATTTAAATATCTGATATGCAGGATGGTCTTAGGCGACCCCTGTGAAAGGGTAGTTCGACCGCCAAAGGGGTCGTGACCCACAGGTTGAGAACCGCTGCTTTAGTACTTATATTGTCTTGTTTAAGATCAGCTCAGACATTATCTTTAGCAACATTAAAATGTTACTTTCATTCTTTCCTTTCTAATTATTTAAGTGCTTAAAAATGAAAAATGAATTCTTTTTTATATAATTCTTTGCTTTTAACCTTTGCCTGAGGATGTTTTTATAGTTTTAGAGAGAAAGGGGAGGAAGAGGAACATCAATTGGTTGCCTCCCATATGCACCCCTACCTGGGAATAGAATCCTCAACCTTTTGGTGTATGGACTCCAGCCAACTGAGCCATCTGGCCAGAGTTGTATAATGAATTATTTTATAAAAATATATTTTCATAGTATTTTAACACAAAATTACAACGTTTCATTTATGGCATAGGATACATAGTAGATTGATATAGGTCCTTTTAGATAACCTACTTAAGAACCAGATAGGACTGAGTATTTTTGCCTCAAAAGTTTTAGAATTTGTGTATTTTCTCCAGTACTACATAATAGTACTTGCCTTTGTAGAAAATCTATTTTTTATTAAACGATTGTACTCATCTAAATTACTGGGATTAATTTAACAACTTGCCCAACCAGAGTGGCTTAGTGGTTGAGCACTAACCCATGAACCAAGAGGTACTCCAGTTCAATTCCCCAGTCAGGGCACATGTAGGCTTGTTACCCCATTGGGGGTGTGCAGGAGGCTGCCAATGGATGTCTCTCTCTCACTGATGTTTCTATCTTTCTATCCCTCTCCCTTCCTCTCTAAGAAAATCAATAAAAACATATTAAACAACAATAACAAAAATAGCCATCCAGTTATGGGAAAAGTACTATAAATCCATTTTTTAAAAATATATTTTTATTGATTTCAGAGAAGAAGGGAGAGGGAGAGAGAGATAGAAACATCAATGATAAGAGATAATCATTGATTGGTTACCTCCTGCTGGGGATCCAGCCCATAACCCAGGCATGTGCCCTTGACCAGAATCAAACCCAGGACCCTTCAGTCCACAGGCCGACGCTCTATCCACTGAGCCAAACCAGCTAGGGCTATAAATCACTTTTAAAAATGTAAATGTGTTTGGCATAACGTTGGTCAGAAGATACAAAACTTCAGTTATGCAAGATGAATACGTCTGGAAATATATAATTGTGTAAATTTAATGTTAAACCACATTTTATGAAAACTGTGTAACAGAAATTATAACAATTAGATGGCAAAGTAAAATTGAATATAAATAAACTTTTTGTTTAACCCTCATCTGAGGACATGCTTTACACAGAGGAAGGGAGAAAGAGAGAAACATCAATGTGAGAGAGAAACATTGATTCACTGTCCTCTATACTTGCCCCGACCAGATTGAATCTGCAACCCAGGTTTGTTCTCTGACCAGAAATTGAACTGGCAGCCTTTTGGTGCACAGAACAGTGCTCTGAGACACTCTAGATGGGCTAAAATAATTCTCAACACTTCAACGTCAATGACAATTTAACGCAAAAAAATTGCTTTTATTTTTTGTTTTAAACTAGCTGTATGTCTTCTCCTGATAAAATGATAATGTATATTTTTAGAAACAACACGTATCTCAAAATGTTATATAAGTAGTCTTGAGATGAACAGCTAAGGAGGGGGAAATGGGAAGATGTTGGTCAGAGGGTATAAAATTTCAGTTATGCAAGATGGGTAAGTTCTGGAAACCTAATGCATAACATGGGTCATAGTTAATGATACTGTATTATATACTTCAAATTTAGTAAGAAGTTAAACCTTAAGTGCTTTCACCACACAAAAGAAAATTATGTGAGGTGATGGATAAGTTAATTAGTTTGATTATGGTGATCATTTCACAATGATTATATATATCAAAACATCAAGTTACACACCTTAAATATATATAATTTTGTAAACTATATAGTTGGGGGAGAAAAAGGAATAGTCTGTATACCAACCAACATGTAGCTGGGGGAGAAAAAGGAATAGTCTGTATACCAACCAACATGTAGTTTGGGGAGAAACTCCATATAGCTGGGGGAGAAAAAGGAATAGTCTGTATACCAACCAACATGTAGTTTAATATATACTGACTAGAGGCCCAGTGCACAAATTCGTGAATGGATGGGGTCTGGCTGGCCCAGCTCCAATTGGAGGAGGAGACAGTGGGCGATTGGCCAGCAGGCCCAGCCCCCAAATGAAGGGGGGGGGGAGACCGATGAGGGGTCAGCGGCTGGGGGAGGTTGACCAGCCAGCCCCACCTGATTGGTGTGTGTGGGGGGGGGAGGGCGCAGCGATTGGGGGCAGAGCTGGCTGGGGGGAGGGGCCATGGGCTGACTGGGGTGGTGGGGGCCCATCAGGGGCACAGCTGGCTGGGGGGGGAAGAGCGACAGGCAGTTGACTGGCTGGCCCTGGCCCTGGAGTGGGTGGGGCCAGGGGAGGGGAGGGGCTGCAGGACATGGGCCAGACGGCCCTGCCCCCAATTGGGGTGGGGGGGCAATCAGGGGTGGGGCTGGTCAGGGGGAAGGGTAGGGTGGGGGGGCTGGCTGTCTCACCCTTGATCGGGGTGGGAGAAGCTGATCAGGGGTGGGACTGGCTAGGGGGAGGGGCTGCAGGAGGTTGGCTGGACCCACCCCCTGATCGGGCCAGTTTGCTGGCCACAGTGGGCATCATAGCAACCGGTCGTTCTGGTCGTTACAACGTTCTAGTCGCTGGCTTTTTATATATATATAGATAATAATACACATTTTTCAACATCTCCCTTTTGAATTTTAAATAAAATTTTAAAGGGGTATCAAATGTCTGCTGGTAATTATATTAATAGGCAAATACTATCTACTTAGATACAGTTGTTAAATAGAACAAAAGAAAGGCGCATTCAAAATCCTTGTTTGCTCCTACGCCTATAGGAGAAAACGAACCCACAAATCTCCAGTGTTCAAACTTTCACATAACTTATAAGATCAAAATATGTAGAACTTCCTCATCCTGAGGTTATATATTGCCAAGACTTTCTAAAATTAAGGCATACTCAGCCTTGCAAAAGTAACCAAATGATGGCAATTCAGTGTATTTAGTTCCAAGTTTTCTCTTTTTAGTTTGTTCAGGATATCATTCTTGAATTCTAACCAAAACAAGACTTTTTATGATTCTTCCATGTGCACATATTAAATTGGTTTTTCTCCCATTAAAAATAAAGAGAAAAAAGGGTCCTTTTAATAACTGAAATGCTAAGTATTGATTAACTTGAGTTATATTAACAAGTCAACTACTAAATTACTGATTTAAATGACTTTGGCCAGTCATGTTACCTCAGATTTTCCTTCACTGACATGTAAGACACATATTACCATGTGTCTCACCAGGTAATACAATAATACGAGCACATATGAAACAATCTCGACACAGAGGTGAGGTAATCTTGGAGGCTGTCTAGTACAATTCCCTCATTTTATTTCCCTTATTTATAGTTAAAAAAAAGTAAGGTCCTGGTCATAGAAATGATTGGCAGAGTGGCCATTAAAACCCAAAATTAACTGCTAGGTAAGAAGGAAAAACAATTTGGGGTACTACTTCACAGAAAAGATATTTGAAATTTTGTCAACTTACCCACAATAGGGCCAGGATTCACCCCATACTTTACAAGCTGATCCAGAAGATCTTCATTAGTGAGTTCAGTTACATCTAAGTCATCTTTATCTTCTAGTCTGGGTTTATCAGTTTTCTTTGTGGCTTTCTGTAAACAAAGTCCAGTTATCATTTCAATATGAATTTTAAAATGTTCACTCTATGTACAATGTATAAATAACACTATGTACAATAAACATGGAAATTCACCTTCAAGTTGATTTATAGTTATATTAAGCCTCAGCCATTTGACTAAATTAAAAGTAACTCATTGTTTGGAGATATTTTCTAAGTTTGGTTATAATTACACAAACCTAGAAGCTAATCAACTCAATTTTACAGACATTATTATTATTTTTTTTTATTGATTTCAGAGAGGAAGGAAGAGGGAGAGATAGAAACATCAATGAGCGAGAATCACTGATCAGCTGCCTCCTGCAGCCCCCCACCGGGGATCAAGCCCATAACCTGGGCATGTGCCCTTGACTGGAATCGAATCTTTAGTTCGCAGGCCGATGCTCTATCCACTGGGCAAAACCAGCTAGGGCCAGACTTTACTGTTAAAACAGTCAATGTGGGCTAACCTGTCTAAAGAGGAGGTGATGGCATGAAAAATTCAAACCAGTAAAATGGACCGAATTTAAATATTTTCATCCAGATAACTGTAAATACAATTCACTACTGGCCTTTTAAAACATTTATAATATTTAAATGTTTAAGTTAATCTAGGAGTTTAAGACTTTACCATAAAAATATATAAAAATGATTTCCTTTAAACAAGTACATCAGAATTTACAAAGCCTAAGTGAATATTCTTCTCATAATATAGTGACTTTAATAGCCAGTTTTTAACCGATGAAGGAAGTTAGGCACATCATTTCTGACAAAGCCTTTTTGCCATACTTAGTTCTATATGACCATTTCATTACGAATACAGTAGTCTGCCCTTATCCAAGGGATATATTCCAAGATCCCAGATCTATATGACCATCTCATTAAGAATACAAAAGTCTGGCCCTGGCTGGTGTGGCTCAGTTGGTTGGGTGTCGTCCCATGCACTGAAAAGTTGCCAGTTCGATTCCTGGTCAGGGTAAATGCCCAGGATGCAGGCTCAATGCCTGGTAGGGTGTGTGCAGGAGGCAGCTGAATGACACTCTCACATCGATGTTTCCCTCCCGCTCCCTTAAAAAAAAAAAGAAAAAAAGTCCGCCCTTATCCAGTGGGTGCCTGACACTGCACATAGCACTGAACCCTATACATACACCATATTTTCCCCATCCATCCATCCATCCATCCATCCATCCATCCAAAAGCCCAGCCACCAGAATGACGATGGAATGACTGGTCGCTATGATGCACACTGTGGTGGAGAACCAGCCCAATTGGGGCCCCGATCATCCCCACAACCTCTCACGGCCCCTCCCCTCGGCCAGCTCAGCCCGATTGGCAGCCCCAACCCCAATCGGGGGTGGGGCTGGCTGGCCAACCACCTGCGGCCCCTCCCCCTACCGACCTGATTGGCCCCCATTGGGATGGACTGGCCAGACCCCACCCGTGCACAAATGTGCACCAGGCCTCTTAGTCCTATATTGCCGGGAGCCGGTCCATCCTTGCTGTTTCAAGGGACCTGGCATATATGGCATACTGTTCTTAATATGTTTGCTCACCTTCTTGGCACTATGTGTTTTAACCAAGGTCTCTGAGAAAGGTTGTTTCCCCAGGTAGGGATTTTCCCCTGAAGTTAGGGAGGGAATAAAACCTCTTAACTAGTGCCAGGCGGGCAATTAATCACTTTAACTACGAACAATCATGCTTAAGCTACATAATCTTTACTCCCTGGAATGGAGATAAGAAACGCCCTAGCCTTTGTAATAGAGATTGATAGGATTGAATCAACTGGTATAAATACAGATGTAATAAGACAGCAAGACACAGAACTTAGAATACGGAACCAAGAGAGCCAGAACTTAGAACACAGTCAGAACTTAGAATACAGAACTTAGAACACAGAACGGAGAGATGGAACCGAGGCACAGAACCTACACAGAACGTTCTCTAGAGACAGAAGAACTTCGCTGGAGAGAACATGGCAAAAGATCCTGGACAGAAACTGGCCTCAGAACCTAGAGACAGAACCTAGCGAGAGAACATGGCAGGGGATCCTGGACTGAGCCTGACTGCAGAGATTGGCAAGAGAACCTGACTAGAACCTGGTGACTGAACCTGGCTGGAGAACCTGGAGAATCTGCCTGGAGAACCTAGCAAGACAACTGGCCACAGAACCTGGCTGGAGATCCTAAGCAGAACTTCGCTGGAGATCCAGACCAGAACTTGGCTGGAGATCCTGGCTGGAGATCCTGGCTAGGCTGCTGATCAACTGAACGCTGTCTCCGTGTCCTTCCTTCTTCGCCGACTCCGTCTACACCTTTGGGGACCCCTGGACCTGCTGGGGTTGGACCCCGGCATATGGCGCCCGAACAGGGACCCCTAGGTAAGCCCCACTCTCGGGATGGATAGGACTCCACCATAGGAAGAGGGTGGATAGTCTTCGCCGACTCCATCCACACCTTTGGGAACCCCTGGAACAGGATTCCCCTAGGTAAGCCCCCCCCCATTGAGAACCCCCACATTCGGGATGGATAGGACTCCACCAGGGTACTTCAGACCCCCTATAGAGGATAAGTAGGGTAAGAAGGTGGATAGTACAGAACTTAGATTGAGAAGATGTGCCATACTGAGTCCAAAGAAAGAAGACTGTGTATTGATTCTTAGATTGAGAAGATGTGCCATACTGAGTCCAAAGAAAGAAGACTCTGTATTGATCTTTTAACACATATGCTTGCTAGCAGAGGAATTAAGGTTACTCCCAGTCAGACAGAATGCTTTATACAAGAAGTATGTCCATGCTTTTCTGAGGAAGGAAAGGTAAATGTAATGGCATGGGAGGAGGTAGGCCCAAGGAGCCTTATCCTTAACCCCACTGCAGCCTTTCCACCCCGGGAAAGTGCAAGATTGGCAAGCTCTCCCTGGGGTGATAGATCAGGACTCAGGTAATAGCGGAAAGCGCCAATCCTACTCTTAAAATGGATACAAGAGAGCACTTGGGGTTTTTTCTTTTTAATGCCTGCTTTTAAAAAAAATAAAAAAGGGGGAATTTGCCGGGAGCCGGTCCATCCTTGCTGTTTCAAGGGACCTGGCATATATGGCATATTGTTCTTAATATGTTTGCTCACCTTCTTGGCACTATGTGTTTTAACCAAGGTCTCCTCTCTGAGAAAGGTTGTTTCCCCAGGTAGGGATTTTCCCCTGAAGTTAGGGAGGGAATAAAACCTCTTAACTAAGTGCCAGGCGGGTAATTAATCACTTTAACTATGAACAATCGTGCTTAAGCTACATAATCTTTACTCCCTGGAATGAAGATAAGAAACGCCCTAACCTTTGTAATAGAGATTGATAGGATTGAATCAACTGGTATAAATACAGATACAACAAGACAGCAAGAGCCAGAACTCAGAACACAGAATGAAGAAGACAGAACTCAGAAGAAGGAACCTACACAGACAGAAGAACTTCGCTGGAGAGAACATGGCAAAAGATCCTGCACTGAACCTGACTACAGAAATTGGCAAGAGAACCTGACTAGAACCTGGTGACTGAACCTGGCTGGAGAACCTGGACAGAACCTGGCTGGAGAATCTAGCAAGGGAACATGGCTACAGAACCTGGCTGGAGAACCTAGCAAGAGAACATGGACACAGACCCTGGCAGGAGGTCCTAAGCAGAACTTCGCTGGAGATCCAGACCAGAACTTGGCTGGAGATCCTGGCTAGGCTGATGATCAACTGAACACTGTCTCCGTGTCCTTCCTTCTTCGCCGACTCCATCCACACCTTTGGGGACCCCTGGACCCGCTGGGGTTGGACCCCGGCACTATATAATAAAAGGGTAATATGCAAATCGACCAAACAGTGGAACAAATGATCACTATGATGCACACTGACCACCAGGGGGCAGACGCTCAATGCAGGAGCCGCTGAGCTCTGGTGACTTGGCAGCGGCAGCTCTCAGGTGATGCACCCCAGTACAAGAGGAGGGAGCCCGATTCCAGGGTGTGTCACCCAAGAACCGCCCTCTCGCAATCCAGGACCCCACAGGGGATGCTGGTTTTTGGCCGATCCCCACAGGACAGGCCAAGGGACCCCACCTGCCGGAGGGACCGGCTCACTCCGCAGACGCCCTTCAAGCTGAGGTGCTGCCCCAGGTGCAGCCAGCAGGGGAGGGACCTCAGGAGGTTGGCTCCAGGGCCTGTCCAGCCCTTCTCACTTAGTCCTGCCCCACCCCGCCAGCCACCTTCTAATTAATTTCCTTTTAATGTGCACGAATCCGTGCACCAGGGCACTAGTACATATATACCTATGAAAAAGTTTAATTTATAAATTAGGCAAAGAGATTAGCAATAACTAAGAATAAAATAGAACAATTATAAGTACAGCATAATGAAAGTATATGAATGTGGCCTCTTAAAATATCTTAGTGTATTATTATATGTATAGTGTGGATACATTGGACAAAGGGATGATTCATGTCCTGGGTGGGACAGAGCTAAACAGTGCAAGATTTCAGTCAGTATGCTACTCAAAACCGTGAAAAATTTAAAACTTATGTGTGAACTGTTTATTTCTAGAATTTTCATGTAATATTTTTAGACTGGCTAATCAAGGGTAACCAAGGGTAACTGAAACCATGGATAAGGGGAACACTACTATAGTTGAAAGAACATGGAACAAGGTTTGAGAGAAATTACAAAGGAATTTTTAAGAATAATTTAAGAATGGCAGTATCTACTGGAAAAACTATGTAAACTTCTAATGGCTAAATGGCCACAAATGTCAAAGTCAATGTAGGCCCTGATATTTAAGCAGAACAGTTAACACATGAAATACTTTATGCAAAAGGGCAAAAATCATAAAGTTGTATAAACTGCTTACTTTCCAATGATGGAGAGGGGGGGAGTGGGGAGGAGGGGAAATCACATTATTTGGCCATGGATTAGAATTTCTACTTTTTTAACCAAATAAAAACTTGAATACTTTAATCAAATAAAAATTT